AGAAAGAAAGAAAGAAAGAAAGAAAGAAAGAAAGAAAGAAAGAAAGAAAGAAAGATGGGAATCAATACCCTTTACAACCAGTGGGGGCAGTAACACTCTCTGTCAGCCAGCTTCCAAAAATAAACCGAAGAAGAAAAGCAACATAATGGGAGCTGTAACAGATGGTAAGGTAACAAAATAATGTAAAAATGTCAGCTTCTGTTTCAAAATCTATAAGTGTAAAGTTGACACGGCTTTTTAGACATCCGTATAGAACATATTTGTTCTTTAAAATATAACCTTTTTTTTTTACTCAGACGGTACATTTTCTGAGCAGTACCCTCGTCAGCTAGCAAAGCTAGCATTTTTTTTTTAGCCTAGTGTCACTCAGGTTTTTCTGGCGTGGCTGTTGGTTTTTCAGCTGCTTCTGTCTCTAACATTGCAGATGAAGTTATACGAAAACGTCTTCTTATTGACGGTGACGGAGCTGGAGATGACCGTCGAATAAATCTGCTGCTGAAAAGTTTCACTAAATGGTGCAACTCGCCTGGGACACCGGAGGAAGGGTAAAAACAATGGCTTGCCTTTTGTAAAGCATCTCAGTTCTTTGTCCAAATGATGGGCTTTGTGGAAAAAATATCTTCTTCGTTAAATTTTAAAAATGCAACAAGACAACTTGATGTGAGTGARCGTGTGTTCTTTGTTGTGTGTAGGTTCACTCAGTACCAGAGGATGGTYGGGACTCTGGCTCAGTGTGAGTTCTCCATGGGGAAGACTCTGATGGTTTATGACATGAATCTTCGTGAAATGGAAAATTATGAGAAGATATACTCTAACATAGGTAAGGTTTGGATTTAAACAAATAGTTATTTTAGTTTCGATTAGCCTTAACATGTGATATACCTTTTTTGCAATTAACGCTTAGTCTTTTTCCTCCCATTGCAGAACACAACATCATGTCTGCACATGAGAAGATCACAGAATGCAAAAAAGAAATTCAAAGGGCGAAGAGAATACGAAAGAATCGTCAGGGTAAGCCTAGATTGTTTTAGTAATGTTTTCTTTGTACGGTGCATCCGAAAAGTATTCAGTGTGTTTCATTTTCCAGATTGTATGTTGCAGGAAGCCTTTTTCCAAAATGGGAGAAATTTGTTTTCTTCCACAAACTTTTACACACAACACCCCAGAATGATAACATGGAATATACACTCACCGGCCACTTTATTAGGTACACCTGTCCAACTGCTCGTTAACACTTAATTTCTAATCAGCCAATCACATGGCAGCAACTC